ATTTTTGCTTTTACTTAAATTAATTTTTTTCTTTATAATTTTGCTTAATTTTACTAATAAATTGTTTCACATTGTTTTCCTTTTCCACTCACTTACACTTATACAATTAAGTTTTGTTTTATTTTTTCGTATTAAAATTATTAAATTGAATAGAGTTCGCATTTCATAAACGGTGGATGGTTCAATTCACTTAGCATGAATTTATTATTCAATAATAACTTCACAATTTGCTTACTAGCTCACTCATGCGAAATTTGAAGCACAAAATAAATTTTTTAATTGAAAGTTTTATATTAATTTTTTAATTTGGTTTTATTATTAATATTTTACAGCAATTAGTTATAGTTGGTTTTTTATTTATTTATAAAATGTATGCACAAATAGCACAAATAGTTACAACGTACATACATCAATGTTATGTCGTATTATTAAATAAAATTTTATTTTTAATTAATTTACATATACAAAACGTACAAATATGTACATATTATTTTGAATAAAGATTTGCTGTTGTTTGTTTTGAAATTAAGTCATAGCTATAGAAGAAGCTAATATTTTTGTTTATTAAAACAAAAAATTCAAATTTTTTGTTGATTTTAAATAAAAAATCGCGACAAGTAGCACAAACAATTTCTATAATTAATTGTAAGAAGTTAAGAAAAATATATTGCATAGTACTTTAAAATACATAATGTGTAAATGTGTTAAATTATTTTTTAAATAGAAAATATACATTCACATTTATGTACATACATACATAAAAACATATTGTAATTAAAAATTATTTAGAGCAAAATTGTAAGTTAATATACATTAAAAAATATGTTTGTTAGATCCATAGTAGTTAATTATAAAAAAAAAAATTTAAAAACTAAGAACAAAGCGACGGCAATTTTGTTTTTAACTTAAATGTAATATGCGCATGTGTGTGTGTGTGTGTTGGCATAACTAATTGCCTGTGAGCATGTTTGTATGTAGTAGTAGCAGCGACGCTATTTTTTTTTAATTTTATAAACAACTTATAAAAAAAAGTACTTATATTTTAAAATATTTTTTTTTAATTTTAAAATTTGCGGCGTTTGCTGTTGGTCTCTATTGGCGTGGATATGTACTCACTAACATATGTACGTGTTTTCTTATGTACGTTTAACTCAAAAGCTAATTTAATTTATTTTACTTATTTACAAATTACATACATAATTTTTTTAATTTATATTTGTAATCTTTTTATTTTAAATATTTTTTTTTTTAAATCATAATTTTGTTTTGCCTTATTGCATTGCGTTAGTGGCATTTGTTTGTATTGCCTTCGTGTTTAGATAAAAAAAAAATTTATCAAATAAATCAAGAAATTCAACGCAAAAATTAAAAAAAAAAACAATGTTTGCTTGCATTTCTTTGAGATCATATAAATGTACATGTGTTTGTATGTGTGTGTGTGTATGTGTATTTAGCTGTGTGTCATTCTCTTGCATATACAACAACAATAAAGTACTCTTCGGACAGCATGACGAGCAGGACTTCTATTTACCTTTTTAAACGAACCAAATTTTTGTATAGAAAGTTGGAAACAAATTTTTTAATAAAATTAAGCGTTCCTTAAATGCGCTCCCTTGTTTTTAAATTTTTGAATAAATATTTGGAAAATTTTAGAAAAATTAAATCTCGAAAAAAAATTTTGCACAAAATATTAAACACCGATTTCGAAATAATTTGAAATAAACATTTAAGGGTAAGTAAATATTATAATCAGCGTTTTCCATTTTCAGGATCATAAACTTTTTTCGATTTCGACGAGCAGGACTTCTATTTACCTTTTTAAACGAACGTTGGGATATCGCCTGATCCTATGAAAGCCATTCTTCATTCCAGACTGCTCTCGAATGTATGTTTGTATGTCTGAAGCTCGTGGCAGAATTTTCCTAGTAGAATCGAGAGCTTCAGCGAAACAGCATGGCTAAGGAAGGTGCTGTCTCAGGGCTCTCTCGCGTTGGTGGACAACAACATGATGAAGGAGGTGAAGAAAACCTGACCTCGGTGGAGTGTAAGCAAGAAGTTGGTGGCTGCACTTGCAGCTTATCGCCTTGTCTCTCTCCACGACAATGGAGCACTGGATTGCTGGACAGCAATGAAGAAGAAAATATTTCCGCCAAGCTAAGGTGATCAAAGTGGGACACGGAGAGTTCGTTGAAGCTTCTCTCGTAAAAAGGAGGGAAATATCATTTGCTTGGGGATACTTAAAGGCCATATTCTTTTAGGGAGACGTAGAGAATGGTGCCCTAGGGAGACGTAGAGAATGGAGCCTGGAACTGTTTGGCATATACTGCGCGAATGCGTTACATTAAGCAGTAGACCAAGTATGGTAATTTTTGTAAACGAAACTTTAAGTACAGTAAACCTTTTTTTGTTAGTAGGAAATTCTCCTCCATCTTCTTTTTTTTTATGAAGAGAATAAAGGGAACTAATTTTTCATTCTCATCTAGACGCTACTTATCGTCGTAAGGGAAGTCGTAAAAAACTTGGTAAACAAAAAATTCAAAAAGCAGTGAATTGAAAACTCTTCTAAAGAGGCTTCATAAAATCCTTAATTTGGTTGGGGGTGGACCTCTGAAATGTCAGTTATTTCAAGGGATACTGCTCTCTTTATGTGAAGCTTTTAGACATTAATGTCTGTCGCTTCGGTAAATAGTGCGTCCTTTCCTGCGGTCACGCTGCCTTAAAACGATTTTCGTAAACGATGCAATTTTCTTACTCACAAAAACAAAAACGATCGCAACAAATTAATTCCGCTTGCAACCATCAGTGCCAACAACACTGCTACCCTCCACCGCACCGACGCTTTCCACCGCCGCGGCAGCCATGGCTGCTGCCACATTAACATGTCGCAGCATCAGATCGCTGTCGGCCGCCTTGCCGATGTTACTCAAATTCAACACTGCAGCATTATCGACCGACGTCGTTGTCCCATACTCGTGCGCGGAAAGTTTCAGAAACTGTTCGTAAGCCGAGAGACGTGCGGTGGGCGGCTCATCGCCGCTAATTGCTTCCATGCTGGTAGCAGCACAGGAGCCCGCATGGAATACTTTGCTAGTCATGATGGCGGCGTTGCTGCTGCTGCTGCTGTGGTATGGCGGTGGTGGTGGACGCTCGGTCAACAAACTGGGATGAGTAATGGCGCTAGGGCCTACACCGAGACTTCCACGGCTGATGGAAACTGCATCTGCTGCTGCGCTTGTGGCCGACGTGTTGATGTTGCTTAAGCTGCCAAGCCTTTGCAAGTGTTGTGATTGTTGCTGTTGTTGCTGCTGCTGGTGCAGTTGATGCTGTTGTTGCGCATGCGCATGCGTATGCACCTGCTGCTGGTGTGCCAAATCTAGCGTTGACAATGTCGAGTGCGGATGTGTAACTATTGCGGAAGCAGACGCGTTCGCACCGCCATACATTAACTCGTCTGATTGTCGATGGTGATGCTGTTGTTGGTGCTGCTGTAAGACAACTGTGGTTGCCTCAGCAGCGCCAGTGCTCATCGGACTTGGCGACGTCGGCGACTGTTTGATGTGGGTTATGGTGGGCGTGACTACGGAAGTGGCGCCACCCAATTCGCTACTACCACCGCGTCCCGAGCCGCCAACACCGCCACTGCTGCTCACATTCTGGCAATCACTGAGATTGCTTAAATAACGTGCATTGGTGTTGTTGCTGCTACTGCCGCTATTGTTGTTGGCTGCGTTGCCAACACCGCTGGTGCTATCGGCATTATCATGTGTGTCTTTTGTTGTTGCTGCTGTCGTCGTGGTGAGCGCCAAGCCGCGTGCACTCGCGCCGGTTACCGTGCCCTCGTCCATTGCCGTCGCCGCCATGGAGCTACTGCCATGTCGCTCACTATCAGCACACTTGCTAACGCCTCCTACGCTTCCTCCTACACTGCCACTGCCACCGAGGCCGCCGCCACCGCCGCCGCTGCTTCTACTGTTGAATTCATTGTGTGTGGATAGATTGGGCAGTTGCAGTTCATGCTATTCCTTTATCAACCGATAAATATGGTGCGTAGCGCCGCTATTCTGTGCCGCCACCTCGAACACGTACGCTATGCAGAGAAGGGTCTCTTGTGTGTCTCGCGCTTGCATCACCTTAACGAAGAGTAAGCAGGAAGATAATGAGGTGGGTATTACATGTCTAGACATATCACAGTACGTAGTAAATATGTATGTATATGTATACCTGCAGTATTGTGAAGTTCTCCAGGACACTGTTCATCATATATCGCTCAGGCAGGTTCTTCAATTTCTGTATGAAATTTATCATATATTCGCACATCGGCGACCGATGTATGCGATATACGAAGCGACCATTCTCCAAGCGTGAGTATTCTGTTTCCACTTTTTCGACGACCTGTTTGCCAAACGAGCAGACTTTTGTCGAACACACGAGCACAACATTTTCGTTACTCTCATATCTAACGGGGGTATACAAAGTAAAAGAATATATTTGTTAGAACACAGGGTTTTAAGAACTTAAAATTAAGAAAACCCATTTGGTTGCGATACATACTGACTCGTAACGCCATAGAAATCTCCCGTCTCGCTGCCGGTTATTTCGGTATTCAAGTCTGCCCAACATTTAACCAGATAGAAGGCATTTTGTGGACCTTTTTCGTAGAGATCTTTAAGACCGCCTGATTTCTCAGGGAACTTATCGGAGATCTGTCGGATGTCAACAGTCTGTAGGGAGAAAATAAGAGTAGAAAAATTACAAAATTAATAATTTTTTAGTGTTAAAAAAGTAATAATTTCGACAATTTCCGCAATTTTCAATACAACGGATTTAAAGCGATTTGAAGGCGGCAAGATGAGATTAAATGAGAGAAGGCTCGCTCTGAGCAGAACTGGACCAAATTTGGCAAATCTCTTAGTCGGTGCGACCAGAGTTGATTTATAGTATTAAATATCTATTCGGTTAGAGGTCTTTACTGATCCACATATAACTTAGGATTTTCCGGACCTGCGGGAGATTCTGTAACCTCCACAGTGGCTCTGTTTTGACAGATTTTGGAGTTTGTTAAACTTGGGGAAAACTTGAATTTTTCCTCTGTCTTCTTTCCACAGACAGGCGCAGTATAATTACAATTAGAAAAGGATTGGAATAAGTTGCATAACTCCAGACTGCCACCTTAGTCAAGAGTGCCACCTTGAAGATACATATCGATACCTTAGCCTTTTGTATGTATAGCTCTATTCAGGTGTAAGTTCTATGAGAGTTCACCGTCAAGGATAACCTCCAGTTGAAGGAGGCTAACTAAGATTAGCAAAATGCCTCAAAATCTGAGAGAGTAATTATGACCGCAGCCCAATCAGGTATACTCTATGTCACCAAATAACCTCTTGGACTTTATAAGGGAGTTAAAACTGAGCGAAGATCTCCTGTTTGTACTCCATACCTCCACTGATATCTATATACCATGGATGACCCGGCCCTATTGTTCAAGCTTCCTTGGATCTTCTTGATGCGTATCTGCATCCTTCGACCTTCCAAAATAAATAAATGAAAAGGGGATCCTAAGATTGATGTTCTTGTTGACTTAGTCACGATTAGTTATAAAGGAATCCTTACGCTTCGAAAAGTGTCTGAACGACCCAATGCATTTAGGTGTTGAGGAAACTTAATGCAGCGTATTCCCATTGCCGGAGCGTTACTCAGCATGCCTGCGAAAGTCCTGGAAATCTTATTTAAATTTCGGTTGTGGATCTCTTTGGACAATTTCCTTAAATTCAGTAGTTTGTCCAATCAAGTTTTACGGACTCACAGTTTGGTCGACGTGCGTGGATAAATCTTCGATTATGAAACAATTCATTAGGATAAAAAGGACACACCGAACCTCACGGGATTCCTACCCACTAACTACTCCAACGAGCACCTTTAAAACTCAACTCAACCTCCTCCCATTCGATCTTTATAACCAGTAAACTAAAGGTAGGCCAAATTGTAGTCAGAAAAAATGGAGTGACATCTGTCAAAAAAACTCTTTAGCGTCTAGACTACTCGGTTCCTACTCTAGCACCTACACCCTCGAGAACGGCTGGCTTCCTCCTTGATTCGATGTAGGCAGCCATTTTAATCTGACCCAATTTAAGTAGTAATTAGTACTCACCTCGAGTAGCGGATCGGAAAAGGACGGTTTGCCACCGAGTTGTACGAACAAGTGCCGGTGATACTGAAAATTAAATTCGAAATTAGTCGAAACACATTTCAAACAAACTGTATATATCATAAAAAAAACACCGAAACACTTACGATATCCTCTCTTTGTATTTCCATGAATGCCGAGAATTCCAGCAAACGGAATTTGTGCGTCGCTATCGCTCTACCCTCCCACGGCAGTTGTGCTGGCGGAAGTCCTGCTTCGATGTCACCAGACACGGCTGTCGATGGCTTGCCGGCGGGGTAGGGGGGTTGTGCGAATGGCTTAATGCTGTAATCGTAAAAACTACGGTCAATGCAAACAATTTCAATGTGTCAACTTGTTAAATATTTCGAGATAACTTACTCTTGTGAGGTGCTGGGCTGTAGACCTGGCTGCCAGAATTGCTGTGAGTTGGAGAAGAAGAATAGAGGGAAAAGAGAAGTATTTATTTATAAGCGATTATATAACTTCAAGATAGACAACAACAACATTAATTCAGTTACAGTTACATATATGTATTTATGTATACATACATCAATAAGTATGTAATTATGAACGAAATGTGCTAGCGAAAAGCAAGGTTTATATGAAGAGCCAACAATTTTTTTAAGGTTATGCGAGTTTGATGATGAGAGCTTTTAGCTTTGTTTGGTCTTAGCATTTGGAAGAGTAAGTTTATTATACACATACTATTTAGTAACACAAAGTTGATACTTCTCCGCTGATTATATAATAATGAGGTTCTTATTTATTTACATGCCCGTATTTATGTACAGTGACTCAAACGAGTGTTCGCATGTCGATTTTTTTTTTTTAATATTCAAATGTTTTTTAAGCTAAAATTATTTTGTTATTTTCTTATAAAAAATTTGTACATACTTTAACAAAAAACCATTTCAATCAAAGTTTCTAGCTTTATACAAAGTTTAGAAAAATTTAACAAATTTCATAAAAATTTCGAATTTTTCAATCTCGGTTTTTAGAACATTATTGGACTCGCTGACGGCTTTTGCATAACAAGCGCAATTTATAAAAGCTGGCGTGATTTTTGAACGGTATTGTGCATTCTATTCCACAAAAAAATAATTTATGTATATGGAAAAAGTGCAAAAATCCGTCAGAAAAGAAATTAATGAAATTTTTAGCGGCTAGAAACTTCCACGTTATTCTATTCTATTCTATTGTAAAATTTTATGGGCGTACCCAAAATCTTTAAAATTTTAGAATTAAAATTTTCGAATTTTTTTATGAAAATTTGTAAAAATTTTCAACATTTTGTATAAAGTTTGAAACTTTGATTCATGTTTACTGGTTTGGCTAAAGCATGAACAATATTTTTATAAAAAAAAAACAAAAAAAACTTTGACATGAAAAACATTAAGACAATTAAAAAAGAACACTGCTTTGAGTCACTGTACATGACGATTAACGAAGCCTTAACCCATATGAAATTTTTATCCTCCTTACAAGTTTTTTGTTATTGTTTACTGCTACGCTTTTCCGCTGCCCCTTCAATGCTGATGAGATGAAGCGAGCAATGTGTGTTGCGTTAGCGATGGACCCCAACTATGGCGTACGTATCGAAATGTGCGTGAAATATGGACCTTAACCTATGAATTATTGGCTTACAGACGTCGTTGAGGTACTACAGCCTCCCACACACACACACTCACACACATACACACCTTTATACACAAAATATATATATGAAAGGGAAATCAAATGATTTATTTACAACGTAGCGAGTTACACAAAGTGACGCCTTACTGCGGAATTAGCAAAATGCTTAGATTGGCTTCTGATTGCTTTTATTATTCATTTATTTATATTTTTTTGTGGTGATGAGCACAAATTTAGCCGTTCGAGTTAGAAAGCGGTAAACAATTACTATGAACTTTTTCTTACGCCCGGATACATTGGTGGATGACGGAGTGGCGTGTGCGCATGCGCATGCGTATGTGCGGCATGTGGCGGCAAACCAGCAGCTGCAGCCGCCGCCACCGCCGCCGCAGTTGCTGTCGGTGTTGTCACCGTAGCCGAAGCCGAAGCCGGCGCCGTTGTTGTCGTCGCAATGGAATTCTGCGTTGCTGTTGCTACTGCTGCCGCCGCTGCCGCTGCCGCTGCCGCTTGTTGTTGCTGCAAATATGCCGCCGTGCCCGCTGACGTGTGCGGCAGGTGCGGTTGTTGTTGTGCATGCGCGTGCGGATGTGTGCTGGTAAGGTGGTGGTTGTGGTGGTGGTGATGATGGCTAAGGTGGTTTAGGTGGTTCAAGTGGCTCAGGTGGTGGGCGTGGTGATGGTGTGGATGCGGATGCGGGTGCGGGTGCGAATGCAAGTGCGAGTGCGTTGGTCCGACTAGATGTGTTGCTGCCGCCGCCGCCGCCGCCGCTGCTGCAACTGCTGCTGCAGATGTCGACCCTGCGGACGATGAAGCTGACGAAACTGTCGGCCCCACAGCGGTGAAAGCAGCAGCTGAGGCGGCAAATGCCAGATTCTTCGCCGCCTGTGCGGATACGATTTGTGAGCTGGTCATACCGCTCATAGCCTGTAGTGCTTTTTCCTTTTCGCTTAGCAAATGTAGCGAATGGGCGTGCCCATTGATGCCAGCGATGCCGTTAGGTTCCTGAAAATAGTAAGTGTAGGTGGTAAGGTGGTGCTCGATGAGGTGCGTGGGTCAAATTTTCCTATAAATTGTGTGGCATTGGCCAAGGCTGTAAATGCTAGCTAATTGGGGAAGCTGGAATAAAATTTGCATTACTTATTGGCTTAGCGGAAATACGATGAGATAGTGGCGATGAGATGCGTGGTGGATGGTTTGATATGCTGATCATTGGTGATTATGATGACGCATGACTCTCCTTAAGCACATAATTTTATTAACAAATTTTATTTGAAACACTTCTGCAACTGGGATATGATTTAAACAGCGTTCCAGCGCTTACTTTAAATTAATTCTTTATTTTCTTTGTAGTTTACAAAGTCGCTGTTGCACTCCTTGTGGCCTTGCCGCGCCACACTTTAGCTCAGTGTGCATGCCATTCCTGCCACAGAAGCAAGCAGCGGTTACCTGCACAGCTGGGCATCTCTTTGTGGTTTCTAGATGCTCACAAAAGGCAAAAAAAAAAAAAGAAAACAAAAGAAAATAGAAACCACTATCATTCACGTATAAGCTTGCACACTTTTTCGTATCCTTGTCGGCAGCCTTAGTTGGTGGAGAAATTCTACTAAGCACTCAACTACAAAGTGACCCAGAAAACACCAAAGAATTTCGTATGACACAAAATAAAAACATAACAAAAAAAAAAAAACTGAAAGAATGCGAAGAAACCTCATAAAGCGCACTTGCACACATTGTAAGGATAGTGAAGTAAAGACATAGAAACCGCACGCTACTCGAATGTGTTGTGTGTCCACTGTGTGTATGAATCCTTACGGGGGAATGAAATGGTAGCAAAGAAAAGGAATCCTATTAAAACGGCAGCAGAAAGATACATACATACATACGTAACGGCAAACAATTTAGACAGAATCGCCAGAACTAGGTATACCTGCGGAAGTTACGGCTGCGTTTGAATAGGAAAGAAGGCGTATGCTGAATATATTCGAATAATTAAACCACAAAGCATCTTTCTTTTACTAAGGAGCAACTGCGTATGTATTAAAACAGGCCTTACCGATTTTTTCAATGGACTGATCGGTACTTTTCAAAAATAAATGTTACAAATTTTCCAGGATATTCAAGGATAAATTTTAAAAGGGACATTTTCAATACCTATTTGTCCTTATGCACCAACAAATTTAATCTTTTTTAAATTGTTTGAATTAAACATCTTTAAAATTTCAAAGTCTTTTTAAAAAAATCCTGATGTCAGAGAGAAAAATTAAAAACGCAGTTTTATTATGTTTCGACACTAGTTTGCCTAAAAAGTTTCTATTCGGAAACTTCCATACCCATATACCCATTCCAGGTATACAACTTCTGTCGGTGTTCGGTATTCCTTTATGATCCAAAATTTTAGTAATTGGCTTTTGATTTCGATAATTCATGCGCTGCCTCGTTCTCGTTTATGTCCATATGCCCTCGGCCCGTATTATGATAATTTCGTATCGATCAGAATTTGAGGCCAACTTTATTCTAAAAACTTTAACTATCAGCGACCGATTCAAAGAAGAAATAGTGCCTGAATTGCTGCTTGGCCATCAGAGAAAATGTTCACTAACGTCCTTGCGGGTACTCGTATTTTGAGCCCCTTACCGACAACAATCTAACCCTACAGTAAGACATAATTCAGCATTGAACACCTTATAAAAATTGCTACCTCTTGGCTTTTGTTTCAGCGAAGCTTCCTGAAGCGCATTTGGTAATAAAGTTGAGGGGAAAAAACGAAGGCCATTGAATAAGTTTCGTGTTCCCTTTAAGACATTTTAAACTTAGATTGTTAGGTATACTAAGCGCAAGGGATTCATATCTGTAGGCTACGCTCTCAGAATGCGCTAACCTTAATGGGGTCGGGTAGCCGTACAAAAAGTTTTCCGAACTCTTCTCCGCCTTCAGAGCAGTAAGAACAGACAAATGAAGTCGTCAAGTGTGCCGACTACAGCCAGGTTCTTAAATTGCGAAAGGTTTGCAGTTTTATGTTATCGATCTGCGATTCCTCGATGCTTCAAGGTCTTCATTGAGTGCAATTTTGAACCCATCTACTGATGATGACGGCTAGAACTGTTGACTTGTTGTCTACTCTGTGGTTAACTCAACTTATCTTGACCCTAGTACCTTCGCAAGTTTTCAACTTTATTAAGTTTATAATCTGGCTAAAGCGTTGTATGGAGCTTCAATGCACCTTTTGTTCGTGAATTGTTCTCAATATTAAGTTGTGCGTATTAATAATTTTTCTTGCAAAAATTATGCTCTAATGAGTGCATGGTATAATACTTTTTTCGACCGATTAATTCATGAAGAAATATTTCGCTTGAAGTGCTAAATATTAAAGAAAGTCTCAAGCAAAGGAAAGCCTTTTATGAGAGCTTTTATGCGAATATGTTTGTAGCTTCTTACGCTCTGTCTCTCGCTCTCTTTCTTTCCACTTGAGTGCGACACAAAGCGTGCGGCCAGGCGATCCTTCGGTCACTTTAACCCACTTTTGAGATCCTTTTACAGAAATTTTTATTTGTTTTTATACAAAGCCTTTGCGACTGGACCATTAAACACCGTTTTGCCAAAGGTAAGTACTAAAGACGATGCTAAAGAAGAAGAGAAGACGAAAAAGCCTTACAACACTTTACTTTGTGTTTTTGTGTATAGTATTTTGAGTGTAAAAGTAGATTTATTTTTTATTTATTTTTTTAAATAAGTATTTGTTTGTGTTTGTACTTGTTTACCAGTTTTGTGCTTTGTTTGTTTATAACTATATACATATACATGGATGTATGTATGTAGTGCAAAAACGGCATCATTATAATAAATGCAAAAGTTGTTGAAAAATTCCAACTTTGTGCCTTTTGCGCCATTTTGCCTCTTGGCTTTTGTTTCAACGAAGCCAAGCAGAAAAAAAGACAAAAAAAAAAACAAAATAAAACTCGACGCAACATTACATTAATTTTCGAAAAAGTAATTTTACTACTATTTTCTCTCCGGTTGCGTTGTGCTGTGCCTGTTTCTGACAGAGAGCCTCACTTTTCTATGCACTTTCTGTTCTGTTCGGGCCTTTTGTTGCCACTGTTGTGCAAATGTAGTTGCCGTTTACTTGTTTCTACGCTTTGTTTGTTTGACTATCCTTGTTTTTGTTTTTTGTTTTTGTTTTTTGATGCCTTTTGACCTTTTGACATAATGTGTGGGCCATAAAATGCCAAAGGAATAAAGCGGAAAATAAGAGAGAGCGGAGCGGAAAACGAAGTGCAAGGGGCGGAAGAAGATGAGGGCGAAAAGAAAAGTTGCAGTGGACAATGCTGCAGGCGAAATTTGTGCTAAGTCTGGTAAAATGGGCGTGGCTTAGAGGTGGGCAGAGCGGTGTGCATTGGGCAGCAGAGTGTTTACAGAAGATTAAGGGGAAGTAACAGCTGGCTCTAGTTGATTGGTATTGGTAGGAAGGTCTGAGGGGGTCCTGAGAAAACAAAACCAAATGACCGGCATTAAAAATGTATGTACACTTTTGAGTGTTTTGTAACAAAAAGTAATACTACAAATAGCAGCAGGACCTGCGCCAAAAGAAGTCAGTCAACACTAAAAACAACAACCACAACAAAAACACACAAAGTAACAAAACAACTGTTGAAATCAAATAAACTTTCGAAACAAAGCTAAAGCAAAGGAAAAATAGAGGAAAACAAATTAAATGAAAAAGACTATAGTTTTTTTCTGTTTTTTTTTTTTTTAATTTCATAAAACATATTTTTGTTGCATTCTGCACTTTGTTTTACGGCTTTTCTGCCCGCTTTCGCTCGACACAAACGGTCAGTAAGCAAAGAAAAAGGATTTCAATGGAATTTTCACTTCACAAAGTGCGATGCAACACACTAACAACAACAACAATGACGACTACTGCAGCAGAAATATACAGAACAAAAAATAAAATAAAAAATTGTAGAAAGAAGAAAATTGAAATGGATGAAATGTAAAATAGAAATGAAAAAAAAAAATTTAAAAAATAGTTGAAACGACAAAGAACCAAACACAAAGTAAACTGCAGTGTGCGCGCTGCTGGGCTGTTGGGAAGGCACTACCACCAGTGTGCCAGTTGAGACGCGCTCAGCGTCGACTTAAGATGCGGTGCAGTCACGTGTGGCAGAGATGTTTGTGTGCATGTATGTAATTACAATGCAGCAGTTACACATATACATACATTTATTGCACACAAACGGAAAGCTCAAACAAAAACTTTACAATCGCTCAAATCGCACAGAAGGCACAAAAAGTGTATGTAATTTTTATAAAGTTTTACCTTTTACTTTTCTCCAACATAAAACAACTTTTCAAGTGAAATGGACAAATGGTTCCATGTGAATATGTATGAGAAAATGCACATACACATGAGCAATTCCATGTTAAATCGACTAATGGTTGAAATCGTCCACATTTGATTTGGATAAATTTTGGTTAGAACCTTTCTTATACATATGATATAACGAAGTTAAATTTTCCAAGAGTTCAAAGTTTCAGAATTTCTCGTATTTAATTTTTTAAATATCTAAACACTACTATGATTACAAAAATGGTTCTGGTAATGTTTTAAAGTTGATACTTGTGGCTATATCGGAAAAAATTTAAAAAAAAAACTATACAGAATTTTGAAATTTAAAAATCGTAAAAGCAAAAATTTCTATAAATTTTTAGCTAAATTTAATAATTAAATAATAATTAAAAAGACCCAGAAAAAAGATATGAACCAAACTAAATAATAATATCCTCAGGGAATTTATATTCATGATAGGAGGAAAGGGAAAAGAGTGAAAACTCTCAGGGAGTCTGTCTCTGTTCAGAATCGGCCTGAATAAACCGAACTTAAATAAACTAATAGACAACTGAAGACCACCAAGTTCGATAAAAGAGTTCAAAATTCACGACTATATAAAAATGATAAAAAATTGATTAACTGAGTTAACCTATGCAGTACTGTGTTCATCAGAAACGGACGAGGCTAAAAAAAAGAGTAAGTTTTTGTTGATTTATAGCCCATTTCCACCAAAATATAAAATGCAGTTAAGAACTCAAGTACTCAGAATTTTAGCGTTTTTACCTTCTGTTTGCTTGTACTTTACGCCCTTCGAGTGGTTATCTTCTTTATCCAGTTGGCATAAATTGCAGCTAAAGCTTGGTGGAAATGAACTATTAGTCCCGCACGTGCTTCGCGTTTTTTAAAAGGCGTACATTTTGTGATATTTGTATGACTAAAGACGGATTTCCACTGGGCATTAAATGCTAAAAATTTGTTGACAAAGTCGGGTATTAGAAATGTTTTTATTTTAGAATAAATAGTAGTGATTAAATCTGTTTCCAATGTAATTTTTTACATACATAAATGGAGCAAATTGCCTGTTATTTTAATGCCTAATGGAAATTCGACATTAGTGTATGTATTTCGTATAAAAGCTTTTAACTTTTTCTCAAGGACATCAGATAAACCTTGCTTTTCATATTCGAATCATCAAATATAAACAGTTATCTATACATACATATATGTATGTACATACATTTGTCTATCGAGGAAAATAATAAAAGTAAAATGGATTTTGATGATTAAAGCAGTGGCCAAAAAGTATAAAAATAATTGAAATTAAAAATCATTCTTAAGCTCTATTCTTTGCTCTAAAGCTTCATTTGGGTACAATTACTCAACTGCACACAACTCGAAATTTATTCAATATGGCAGAAATCTGTGTGATAACTTACAACTTTAATTTTCGCCTGAATCTCACGCAATTTCCGTCTGGCAAGAACCTGTATGTGCGAACTGACTTGCTTTCGTGTTCTCGTCTTGCCTGTGCGTAATTTGATATAACGAGCGATGAGTTCATTGCGGCCTAGAAATAAAAAAATAGGAAAGAAAAATTATAAAAACTTGCATATGTAATGAGTTATTTTCGTGAAATACTCATATTTAAATCACAAGAAATTTGCTATGAAATTGAGATAAAATCAGTATTTTACTTATTAGAAGAAATTAATCTTGATCCCCCTACATATACTAGGTGGTGTGTTCTTTTTGGTAGACATTAAAGATTTGAGTGTGTTTACGATAGATATTGCCGTCAGACGGATATGCACTGTGATTTTAAAAATACTAGTTATTTATCTCATTAGCATATATTACAACTAGGGCTGTGCGATTATTCGATTACTCGAGCAAGTTGGTTAATCAATTATTCGGTTAATCAATTACTCGAGTAATCAAGATTTTGATTACGCAAAACGATGATTAATTGAGTTACTTGAAATATGATTACTCAAAAAAAATAATTTTGCTCGTTAAAAGAGTTTGCTTTGGAAAATGCTTATTTTCTTTTTTACATTCTGTATATGAAAAAATTTTTCGTTTTAATTTTTGAAAACAGAAACGTTGTTTTCAAAGTATCAAGGAACTTTAACTACTTTATACATATGTAAAGAGTTGAAATGTTGATTACTCATTTTACTCGAAATGTTGATTAATCATTAAGCAAATTACTCAATTTTTTTTTTTGTTAATTAAAAATCTTGATTACTCGAGTAACTGAACTTTTGAATAATCATAATTTCCAATTAATCGAATAATTGAGTTATTTACTTTATGATTAATTAAAATTTTGAGTAATCAATTAATCGCACAGCCCTAATTACAACAAATTTAGCGGCCGTATTTTTATTATTAGCTTTTATTAAGTTTCACCCGTGCGTAATCAAATCTTACAATCAATTTTTAACTAACTTCGTGATGAACTAGAGGCTGGAAACTCCTCCTCCTGATCCTCTAGGTGGCGCAGGTGTATATATGATTGAAATCCCCGTATTTACGGTCCGACATGGTTCATATTTGGAATGAATATTACTTACATGAAAAGAAATACCTGTACAAAAACTTTGCTCTATAGGTGGCGCAGGAGTTCAGATATTCGGAAAATCGTATTCATGGTCGGAATTTTTTCATATGTAGAACCTCTTTTGAGTTTGTCATGGTTTTTATCGATATATTTAGTCTTGAATACCCCGAAATAGTCCCTAAAATCTTAGAAATCTCGAAGCAGCTTCGAAAATCTAGAAATAGTCCCGAGAACCCCAAAATTATAGAAACTTCCAAGTAGTCCCGAAAATACCGAAATAGTCTCACGAAGACCGAAAATTCTGAAATAGTTCCGAAAATCCCGTAAACTGCGAAGAAGTCTCTGAAATGCCGAAATAGGCCTGAAAGCCCTAAGAATCCGAAGTAGTCTCGAAAATCCTGAAATAGTTCCAAAAATGCGCAAGTAGCCCTCAAAAAACCGAATAGTTCATCTAATACAGAGATGGACAAAGTGGCTACCAGGAGCCTTTTGCACTTAGGAGCTGGCTTGGCACATTTAGGGGGTAGATGAGGGCTAACATCAAGAGCCAGCATGAAGGGGGAAGAAGGGGGAAAAGCTCATCATTGACCAAGATTATACCATAAAATGCCTCAGAGCTGTAGACTTTTGAGGAAAAAAACTCAAAGTTTACGTGTACAAGTTAATATTAATATTAAGGGTTAACATTTTCAGGGATTTTTTTAGGTATTTACCACAAAATTTCGCGGTGCAAAAGAAATAGTCGAAAAAAGCACCCTAATAAACATGTGTACATATGAAAGAAAATTTTTAACATTATATTCGATAAAAAATTCCGCTCGCGCAATTCCATAATGTAATTGAAACCCGAAACCGATTTTAACTTCGCTTTTGTGACCACGCTTTACGCTTTCCCTTCATTTAACCAAACACTAGCAGCAAATATAAATTTAATCAAAATTAATTTGTAGCTACAAAACCAGATAATAGATAGCGAGCGCTCGAGGGCGGGTTCACGTAAATATTCATAGCTTCGCAATATTAAACAATTCACTAACGGCCAGCAGCAGACTAACTACTATCTAAGTAGGATCCATGCAACATAGGCCAGTGACAACAACAAGGCGCGCGCGCTCATATAATAATAAATAAAATAATGAAAGACAGACAGACAGACAGACAGACAGACGGACAGAAACAGAGGCGGCAAAGACAAAACCGCTATGCTTTTCTTCCGACCTGCAGTTCGCCCTTGCCTTCCCATCTTCCCCCTCCACCTCTTTCACGCTACTTGCCGTTTTGTTTTGTTTCCTGCCACTTTGACTCCTTTTGTCTTTTATCATTTGCCCTCGTCCTTGCCTTTCCCCCCTTCCACACATTGCTGCTTATGCTGACATTGTAGATACGCGCTTGCAATCCTATTGTTTTCACTTAAATTTTCTATGCCTTCACAAAAGTTCTCGGTAACTTTGTAGTCGCTTCCTTTTGTATGTACATATGTAGTCGTTGAAGCTCCATCTATGTATATTGTCTGCTGCGGAGCGCTATACTTTACTGTGGATGCTGCCTCGCCCGACATACAATTTTCTGTACATAGTTGACTTGAATTGACTCGAGTCGTTTTAACGCCAACACAAGCAACATCCTTTATGCATGCCGCCCAGCTTCAGCACTCCTTTTGCGCCATCTTTATTGTCTACGTTGGCCGTGACGTTGGCGTCGTCGTCCTCGTCGTTCACTAATTGCACATTCTTGGCATAGTTTCACTTCTAACCGAATAAAATTATTTTCATTCACTCAAATTGTACTCAAGGAAAGCGTCTACCCGCTCGCCGCCCTTTTTTTGATCCCCAATATCAGTGCTCGCTTCTACTACTATGCAAGCGCTTTGCTTCACAAACTTCGACATCGACTTTCGTTGTTTTCCATCTTTCCTCAGCCCTGCATTTAGCCAACGTCGTTGGCCTTCACCAATATTTGGTGTTTTGTTTGTTTGTGTCTTCGCGCGCTTTGTACTACATACATACTAGTTGCTCCATACTCTCTCCCCTGGCGTGCCAACGACCTATGTATGTAGCTGCAGCCAAACCAAATTTGAAAACGTACTAGCTAACGGAGCAAGGTGGCGTGAGGGTAGAAAAAGCAAAGCTCGGACTTTCTAAGTGATTGTTTTCTGCATCTTCTATGCACACATATCCTCCGGTTATGACGCCCTTCTTTTACTGGCAAGGGGGTTGCCTGCAGCATTGGACTACTCTCATCGACCTTTACACACCGCCCCATTCAATTCACTTTTCTTCAGTAAAAAGCAAAAAGTTGCTTTTGCTTCCTTTTCAGTTGCAAGCTTTTATGATTTTCAGTTCGTTGAACAAAAGTGAGACACAATGACTTTGCTCTAAAGCAGCAGTATTTCTCTATTATTTCTTTTTATTTTTTTTTTGAAAAAAAGAACTACTCGTGAAGAGTGCAATAAGTTGCCGCGCAACTTAACATACATATATGTATTTATATAGTTTTATCTAGTTGGCAAATCTTTGCTTCGTACAATTTTCAAAAGTTATTATCAGTTGTAGTAGCTTTCGAGGATTTAAATGGTATACCTACAGACAAATTTAGTTTAATAAATCTTTATTCTTCATTCTTTGGTGTATTACTTTCCGTAGTTTTTCAGAGAGTTGAATTTCATTATCATATCATATCGGTCTTATCATTTCCACGAAGCCCCCCCCTTATGCAAACATTTTGCATTTTTTACTGCTATTGAGTCTTCTTGAGAAGGCAATGGCCGAACTCTCTGCATTATCTATGAAACGATTTTATTTCTCACCAAAAAAATATTCTCGACTTTACTATCTCAAAAGGTGGCATGGAGATAAAGAATAAAAAAATAATATTAAATTCTAGAACAGATATGAGGTTTAGCGCAGTAGTCTTTCGCAGCTCCTTACTCATAAAAAGACAATTGCGGCATCTAAGGTTACTTTACCTGGAGCTACGAAATAGAACATCATGGAACAACAATTGTGGATATTGAAATTTGTATTCTCACACAACCATATATATTATTGCTGTTCGGGAATTCGCCGTCACGGAAATTGATATTTACTCTCATCGTAGAGTAAATATTCATTCTCATCCCTAATTAGACGGTGAGAATGAGATGGAATTCCTATTCTCATCGTTTATCAGAACCTTTACAGAAAAATTCTACGCAATTACTAAGACTAAGTTCAAATTGTTGTCGGTGCTAAGTTCTATTTAAATGCAGCCATGTGTGCCTTTGGACGACTTCCAAACAACTGCTGGTATAGCAGCAGGAGGAGGCTATTTAACAGTGACTATAAGTATGCCCCTTTTGAAATATTATCGAACGGAGTAGATTTTTTCAGCAAGCTAGTTCATTACGACGTCCTATAATTTACGCCCCACTCCCCTGCCGTGAAAGCACTATGAGGTTGCCACATTTTTCCTAGTAGCGAAGACACTTAAGATCTTGTCGAGCTTAACTTGATGTTGTCACACGAGTGGAGAGACTAAGGTTTTTAGGCTGTCTTCAAACCAGAAATGGTTTTTCTAAGAAGCCTTTCCGTGACAATTAATAGACGTAGACTTAGGTTTTCCTGCTCTTTCTACCATGTCATGTGAATTCCACTATATCTCAGCCTTATGGATAATTCGAGGTCTTTACCGAAAACGACCCTGTGGTAGAAACATTTTACTGGCGTTGCACTCAACCCATCATCTAGGAGGGTAAATGGAGCTTCGAGCCGCTGGACAATTACATTTCTTTGGATTGGTATCTAGAGAGAACTGCCCTGACTACGACACCCAGTGGCACGTTCCCATATAAGCTGCGGCCAAAAGCAAATTTCGTGCGGCCTGTCCTTCGAGATACATAATAAGGCAGTTAACTCCACAAACTTAAAAGTGAGGCGGTCGAAAAAAAAATACTGAAGATGAGGAAGTAAGGTCGGCTATGGAAAAGAATAAGAAATTTATTGCGCTTAAAGAAAAATATATCGAGAAGGAATA